TCTTTTATATCATTTAGTATCATTGAGTCTTATAAGTAGAGATGCTCTGATATGACTCCCTATTCAAATCTAGACTCTTAAAGTGGAACTCTCTGAACCCACTTGAGGATTTTCAACAGCACTTCACTTGTACATATTTTTACTGCGCATAAATAAACGCTGTTTATAGATTTCCTCTGGTTGTGTTTTTCAAAGATCCCTCATCTGCTGCCAAGAAGAAACCATCCAAAACTTCTGGCTTCAACCCATGCAGCAGCGGTGCGTGTGGCCACCCGGCGGTGCGTCCTCTGGTGGACACCGGGGCCATGGTCTTTGTTGTGTTTGGCATCTTGGGCGTCAACCGAACAGGGCGCAGGGACAACCATGTGATTGGAGATGTGGTAAGGGTCACACCTGTGTCAGCACCTCGTAATAATCAACAGAAATGCAGCAGAGCCAGATTGTTCAATTTTTTTCTAATGTGGTTGACATGGTGTTTGAATCTCTTCAAAGGGCAGCATCATATTGGATCCAGACTTTGATATCTTCCAGGAAATGGGGTATCTTTGCCAAATCTGTAAAGCGATTAGTGCAAACAGAAAACTCGTGAAACCGGGAGGAGCGCAGTGTTTGCCATCAGGTAACAGAGTGAAATCTCTTTTTAGAGCAGAAGTAATAGATAAATTAGAATGATAATACAAATATATTATATCTTAATACAATACTGTAAAAAGTGCCTAACAACTGAGTAAAAATGATCCTATCGAGACAAATCCTTAACAAAGAGATAACGGAAAATTGTACTTGATTGTGAAGTTAAATTAATTTAATTTCATCTGTTCCCTTTTTTCTTTAGGTAATAAATTGTCGTCTATTCTGCCTCTGCTCCACCCTGATTGTCACTCTCTCCCTGCTCCAAACCTGCTCCCGGGGCAGCTCTCACACGGAGCTGTGGGAATGCATGGAGGAAAGGTCCGCTGGCTGTCCATGGCCTTCGAGTCAGTAAGTCTCTTAATCTTCCTGCATGCTTTTTTTTTTTTTAAATCTCTCTTCAACACAAAGCTGTACGTTATCAACTCTTCTGCTCTACCTCTCTCATCCAAAGACCACATACAAGGGGAAATCCTCCTTTCAAACCTACTCAGACTTCCTCCAGTGGGAAACCTTCATCCAGGAGCAGCTCACCTCTCTCCCCAAGTCCTCCGCTCTGCAACGGGGTTTCCAAACCTGCGAGCACTGGAAGCAAATCTTCATGGAAATCATAGGCAAGTAAAGAGGTGGCATTGCATGTCAAGAGATGCTTTTTTTTTTTGTTTTGTTTTGTTCTTTCTGAAGACAGCTTAATCCACAGGGAGAGTGGGAGCAGCAGTGTGTGAAAATCTGCTAAAAACTGCTCTCTGCTCTGTTTGTAGGTGTGGAGAGTGCCCTCTGGAGTCTGCTGCTGTCTCTGGCCATCTGTGTGGCAGCTGTGTCTGTATTTACTGCTCATCCTCTACTGCTCCTGCCAGTGCTCATCACCATACTAGGTAAGACCTGACGTTTTTCATTCAAGTTTAGAAGTTTTATCGACTTATTTAAACACTCATGAATATAATTTCAATTTGGATATGAAGACGTACGTTTGGATCATGTGTGTTATTGTGAGTTTTTGACTTTGCGCAGGAGTAATCTGTCTAGTGGTGGCCATCATGTATTGGCTGGGCTGGGAGATGGGAGCAGTGGAGGCCATTTCTCTCTCTATACTTGTGGGTTCTTCAGTGGACTACTGTCTGCACCTGGTGGAGGGATACCTGCTGGCTGGAGATACAATGCTCTCAACGCCAGGACAAAACTCGGTACGAGAGTGTTAACTTTCCCATTTATGACCAATTGAAAAAAACGTTCCTCAGCTTCCTCTGTGCACATGTTAATACAAGCTAATGACTAAGATTTTGGAATTTCTTAAGGTGAGACGCGCCCTGAAGGCTTTTGAGTAAAGAGGAGCAGCTTTTCTTACTTACTCATTCTTTTGCAGGATCTTGCTACAGAGAGGCAGAGGCGGACATTGGAGGCAGTCAACCATGTGGGCGTGGCGATAGTGTCCAGCGCCGTTACCACGGTGATCTCCACTGTCCCTCTCTTCTTCTGTGTCATTGTGCCTTTCGCCAAGTTCGGCCAGATAGTCGCTATAAACACCGCCGTCTCCATTTTGTTCACCCTGACCGTGACCGTGGCCATGTTGGCATGCATGGCCCCGGCTCGTTTCAGCAGACCCCCCGGCGCTGTGCTGAAGGCCAGCCTGGCGGTGATGGCTGCAGCAGCCTTGGGAGCCGTTGTGTGCTGGGTGGGAGGACAGCTGGGTGCGTTGGCCTGGCAATCAGTCAGCACCTGATCCAAGCTTCACTCAAAGTCACACTGATGTCAGGCCGAGGAGACCCTCTGTATGCAAACATGAGAAACTGTAAGCACTCAATTCTCCTCCCATGTTCAGGAGGATTATCAGATCAGTGAATGATTTGAACTTCACAGCACAAAGATGTCAGAATTGATCACACAATCATAAACTGTTTCCCATCACCAAATCCATCTTTTCCACTTGTAACGATGGATGGAATGTTAGTCCTAAAATATTGTGTCAACGATATGTGACTCATATTTATGAGTTTACCAACCACTTTCTCGGTTGATATGATGATTCACCTTTGATTAATTTGTTTCCTCTTGAGGTGGAGATGATTGAGTAATCGTTGTGAAACTCTGGCTGACTCACAGTTTTCATCAGTGTAACTAATGGAGTTGTGAAGAGCCGCTGACTGTGCCGTGATCTACCGTTGTGAACAACCGTCAGTGCAGAGCGCTCTGTCCACTTGACTCACAGGCACTTTAAACCTTTTTTTTTTTTTTTGGTTTGTGTTTTCTGTAATGGATATTGAATGTTTTTTTCAGCCATATTTCTAAAACAAAAGGTTATGATGTCCTGATGTGGCTGGATTCAAAGTTGTACTCAGATTTCAAGCTGCACAGTTTTGTTAAAAGTAATGTGCGATGTAAATGTTTCAATCTGCTGCTCTCACACATTTCACACCACAAGATACGATCCTCTTTTGAGACCCTTAAACATGTTTATATCTTAGATCTATTTTTGTCATCAGAACCGATTGAAAGAAAACCTCTCGTCAGGTCCTCAGGTGTACTCTAAACTCACCCTCCAACCCGCTCGTAAGCACTCGCAACAAGTAACGTTGCTCTCACATAATTTAGAGCACCACTCACACTCCCATCGATGCCGGCTCTGCTCTGCCCCGCGGTGAAGGTGAGGGCCATTTGTCAAGCTACATAACACAATAATGGTTAGGGAGAGAGACTCCCACCATTGCGAAGAGAGCAGTACATTTCTGTTATTGTGTGTTCCTTGTAAAAGTCAAATAAAAACAGGTGCAGAAAAGCCTGGAGTCGTTTGTTATTGTGAAGGCTCAGCACTGCTTTCTTCTCTCTCGTTACATAACGATGAAGACCTGTCACCGCTCACTTACAGTCACATAGTTACCGAGAGAGCTACAGCAGACAGCATCTCATCTCCAGTTGGCTGACGTTAATTATTCATAAGAAACAGCTCAGATGTTACATTGAACTGCAGCGCATCAATGTTTCATTGAACAAAAGGAAAGGTGTTCTGCATACAGAATCGTTCCTACTCATTGTGCTGGAAACTAAAGAAGAGGGATGTTAAGAATGTATTTCTTTTGGTCAAATCAGAAAAAAACCCTGGCAGCCTTTGTTCAGCAGAGTCCTCTATTTTATTCAATTGCAGCAGCATCAGCATCAAATACATTACGATGCAGTGGAAAAAAATAAACTACTGTATGTTGTCAGTATATATTTACTGAGGAGCTTCTATAGAATCTGAATATCTGTGCTTCATTTAAATTAGTTGTCGAGGTGTTTTTTGAACAGCAGCAGTTCTTGTATGGATATTAACATTTCACTTTAAATTACACGTATGGCCAGTGTGTTTATAAATAATTATTGTTTCTTTCTGAAAGGGAAAGAAGAGCATGAACTTATTGGACTAAAGATGCTCTATTTCTTTTCACATTAGAATCTGTATTGAGATGATTTAATGTGTGGCCTCTTCCTTTTGTTTCTGGCTATAATACATGTCACATTAGAGATGCAGTAAAGACACATTTCAATTTGATATCTATAAACTAATACAAAATGGCTAAATTATTTATGACTACTTGTATAATAAAAAAAAAGATGTGGAATTCAATTAGGGAATAACAACAGATTCAAAAAGAAAGCACCGTTCAGGAATATTTATCAATGTGAAATCTGTGTCTCACCCAGAGAATCCTGATGTTGTTTTATCTGAGTTTTATTTATCGTTAGCTGCCTTCAAAAAAAGTCATCCATTTAAATTTTTGCCAGTAGCGTAGATTTTGTGCATCAACACTGTTCTGCTCTAAAAAGCAACAACTTAATGGAATAATGATTGAGGTTGAGCGAGGTTGCATGTAAGGTAATGAATATCCAGCAGGATGGAAAAAGAAAAGCTTTCATACCTGAAATGACAAGCTCAATCTATAAATAGTGAATCAAAAATAACACAAGTGAGGGGGTATTTATAGATGTTTGTTATGTTTCCTGGGTGAAAGAATAATCCTCTGAAAGTTTTTCTGTCCTCAGCTGTGTGTTACTCCGCCTCTTCGCATGACCTTGACTGCACTCCACGGCAGCTCAGCGAGTGCAGAGCAGGACAAGCTCTAACTGAAATGTCACGTTAGAGGACCACTGTTAATAATACGAAGAAAAGGTCAGACATCAGACAGATGTGTCAGACTGCTGCCCTGCCGCACATTATCCTCATCATCATGCTGAGTGAGAAATAAACGAAGGAAAGGAACGAGTGTGCAACACAGTATATTCAACATAGACCAATGGCTACACGTTAGAATGCAATTATAGGGTTAATTTCAACAGTACCTTTCCACCTTTACATTATATATGTCATTTCTTTTAACAATAAATAACCAGGCTCATTTGGTTCTTGAGAAATACTTCATTGTACCATGAAAAGGCAGTTTCTCTGGAGAGAAATTATTTTACATCAGAACTGTAACTCAACACTGAAACATAAGTCATATCTTTATTACCCCATGTTGCAGGGCACACACAATGTTCAAGTATGCCTGAGGGACTAAATGGAGAAATAAAAAACAATGAAGAATAAGAGAGATAAAATGCATTTAAAAATAAGTGAACTGGCATTGCATTTCACAAAAACTCATAAGCTCATGATTTTGGAACAATTCACTATAAAGTGCTAACTGGTTTGAGCTATGAAAAGCACATGTTCCCTTTGAAAGATCATACACATTTCTTTTTACATGGAGGTACAGTAAAAGCCAGTCGTCAGGCGAGCAATTACCAACCAGAAGACATGGACCACAATTCATTTATTAGTCCTTTAATAAGATAACTGCTTCCTTAATTTCCTTGTTAATGGTAACAACGAGAATCTTGCCACTGGTTGCCAGGACAATGCCAATTACAAATGCTGGTGTTGTCACTGTACAGTTTTCCTTCTCTCCTTGTAATTACATGCAATTGACTGACATACAGTATCAGAATCTCAAGTCAAGTCCTTCTTATCCTCTTACAGATAGGAATCCTTGAACCAAAGGAGTAAAAGTGAGAGGAGAGGAGAGGAGAGCAGGAGACCTTCCCATACTCCTCTTCCTCTCCCCCCCAACCCCCCGGATGTGGTGGGCTGGCCCGACAAAAGCAGGGATCTGTCCAGCTGATGCCTGCCTTCCTACAGGTCCTGAGAATCCACTGTTTTCCTTTGTGCCTCTTATTAGGAGGCATGTTAAAAAATAAAGAAACAAACAAAAAAAGATCTGGAGGGGACTTGGTCAATTAACTCTCTCGCCTAAAGCGGACGTTCCTCCTCCCACCCCAACCCTAACCATAGAAAGGTAAAATCAAGGTGTACTGCAGAATGGCTTTACTCCTCACAGTCTGCGGGGGGAGCTAGATCCCCTAGGAGCTGAGGTGCGGTTGGTGGTCTTGCGGCTGTTCTGTCGTGTCTGATTCATCTTGGTGGCCGAAGGTTTCCGAGCGTCGGGCTGGCGCCTCCCCTGGGGGCCCCTACGTTTGCCCCTTTGCCCCGCGCGGCCCCTTCCGGCCCCCGCTGGTCACTTGCGTGAGTGCAGTGTGTCCTGGAACTTGGTGCTGGTGTAGCGGACGTGAAATCCTTTCTTGTTGATTGTATCGTCAGAGCGGAACTTGATCACAATGGAGTCACCAGCCGAGTAGATCTCCTCTGGAGGCTGTGAGGAGACACAAAGCAACAGATTCATTTGTGCTGCTGCTTTCTGCTTCTTTGACTGCACTTCAATTCAAACTAAAGACGTGTCACATGCTGAACCTGAAGTCAAATCAGCGACCATGACCAATGGCTTCTGACTGCAGAGGATTGCCAGTTCTGTGAAAGACAGGGGCCATCTAAGGGACCTAGGACTGGGACTGGCCCTTTGTAGCTTTATTGAAAATAAGGCTTTAGCTTCTATTGAAGTGAGGATAACATACAGTCTGATGATTAGTTCCAGGTGCACCTGAGCACAGAGCTTACTTCTTCCCTGAACAAAACCATATACAGCACAACACATCACATATTTCTGCTGCCACGAGTAAAGAGTCGCCAAACTGTTTCCAGTGAAACAAAAAGAGAATTAACTGCTTTATGTGAGCCCCAAAGCTATGCAACACTGCACCTGGCTGTTTGTCAGAAGAGTGTTATCACATGAATATTAATTCAGACATTATACTGGAAATTAATTAGCTGGTTGAGGTGCTCAGGCAGCTGCTCTGTGACTATCAGAAAGCACTGCATCACGAGCCTGTGCAACCAAGAGTAAAACACCAGACTGGTGTCATTCAACATGAATTATGTATATACAACAGCTAATAGGTCTTGGTTTATTAGGAATGGGGAAATGCACTTTAAACTGGATTGTAGAACAATGTGTAGTCTACTATTAAACAGAGAAAAGCCCCTGGGCTAAAGTAAGCCTTCTCTCACTATAATTAGCTTTCAACTACTTTTGACTGAATTGTGTCAGTTTATTTCGACCTGTTTTATAAAAAGAAACTTGATTGAGAAGCAGCTCCCAGGGGGTTCTGAGGGTGTTATATCCCCTCCAGCAAACGATTCGAGTGAACAGGCGTGAGTGAAAAGCCCAAGCTTATTATTGAAGTGTGTAAATGAGATCAAGCTGTTCTCTGACCTGAGGAAACTTGTGTTTCTATTCCCTGCTGGTGTCATTGTTCCAGACTTGGGCTGCAGCCTTAGCATTGGCTGCTTAATTCGCAGTTACAGCCCAATGCCGGAGGCTCTGATAGGCTATCAGCACCCAGGGAGCGAAGCAAGTGAGTCGACTTACAAGCGCCTCCACAGCCACACTCCCAAACCCGGAGGAAAACCCCAACTTTAACAAAGCGATTAAAGTCGGAGTGAGTCAAAAGCCCAGGGCAGTTCACAAACCCCCGCCAAAGTTTCTCTAGTAATTCTCAGAAATCCCTCGTTGTTACTTTTACTGTAAAACAGCAGAAAAAGTGCTGGGAGGTCAGCTGTTTTTGTCAGAGAGAAATGCTCTTACCCCCGAGCCACAATAGCGTCCCAGCCGAGGGGACTTGGTGTCGGCGCCATCGAAGAGCTCCATGTAGTCATAGCCACAATCCGCCTCCTCCTCAATCTCAAAGGTCTGGAAGATGAGCTCCACCCCATAGCCCTTCTCAGCAGATATCACCCACTGACAGTCAGAGGCTCCGGGGTAGTTATTGTCCCCAAACTGGGCGTGGGAGAACAGGTCCTTGGTTTTGACTTCAGCCTTCAGGTGACCACCGCACTCTGTGAGCAGAAAAGTTGAGCTGAGTCATTTTGTACAAGGGTTGAGTACAGCTGCTGTGCGTATTGGTCTCTGGCTCATTTGTGGTTTTCACAGTCATCCAGATACAAAGGAGTCTAAATCACGCTCTGTTGTTAAATATGAGTCATAATCATTCTCAGAAAGGGTGGTGAAATGTAAGCAAAACTAAACTTGCATGTGTTCAGTCCAGACACCGCTGTGGAGTCTGATTTGTCAATAACTAACCTGAAATCAACTTGATGCCCCCAAAACATGAAGGTTTCAAGGTTTTACTGTCTTCTGTCTTCTTGGCTACTATTAGGTTTTTCATTTAGCAAGAGGAAAAATTGAGCACTGCTCTAATAGTGTCTATTCTTACCTGCAGAATGGGAAGCCTCGAAGCCTTTCTTTTGCACAGAGTTATCAGAGAAGAAGCGAACGAACAGCTTGTTTGCAGTCGACGTGATGGGTGGGGGCTTCTTGGTTCCACAGAAGCGACCCAGACTTGGAGATTTTCCATCTCGCCCGTCATAAATCTCTATGTGGTCATACGCACACTCCAGGTGGGCCTCCATGTCGATCTCGTTAAAGGCCTGTAGTTAAAGAGGACGATGGGCAAAGAGGCTTGTTAAAAAAAGTGTTGGAACAGAATTTCAACTTTGAATCAGTGGCATTTTTTAGACTGTGATAAGTTTTATTTATAGAAAAATAATGTCTACCTAAAGGCGAAAAAAAAGGTGAAGTTTTAAAATAGGTTTCTTACTGTCAGTGACATATTGGACATGAATACAAATAAAAACAGAAGGGGGAGCCACACATCATTGTTCTGTAGCAGCTTCTGATAACAGCTCAGTGGAGTTTTGTTACATAATGGTACAAATACAAATAAAGAAATGACTGACCAAAGAAAGTATACAGAGAGCAGGAGGAAGTGACACATACGATTTTAATGCGGTGGCCTGGAGTGGTGGTGAGGGCCCAGGTGCAGGCCTTCTTGCTGGGATATCTATCCGGCCAGTTTGGGCTGGTAATGGTTCCACTCACGCTATTCACAGTATGATCACAGCCGGCTGTAAAAAGACATCCTTCAGTCATCACATATATCTGTATTGTGCAATTTGACTGCGTTCAAACAGTAAGTCTACTTAATACCTACTCAGGCTACAAAAAAAGTGAAGAGTATGAAAAAATGTGCAACTCTAATAAAGTGACAAGAATCTGAGGTCAGGTACCTTCTTTGCAGTCGTGTTTGTTCTCATGCAGCACAAAGCCGCTCCTGCACTGACAGCTGTAGCTTCCAAAGGTGTTGACACACTCGTGTTGACAGCCTCCGTTCTCCTTGGAGCACTCATCTTTGTCTGCGGGAGCACAGAGGACACAACCTTGGTGACTGTTTTCCTTTGAAAAACGCCTGATGGCAGCTTGAGTGACTTAAAGAGAAGACGTGATGCATTAAGGAGGACTGTCAGGAGACTCACCTGAGAAGAATTGTGCTTTAAAGCCTTTCTTGGACACGGTATTGTCTGATTTAAACTCAATGCGCATGTTGTTGTACTGGGAGGTGATAGCTTCGGGTTTCTCCGCCCCACAGAACTTCCCATGTAATCTTGAATCGGCTGATAGCCCGCTGCGAACCTCCACATAGTCGTACTTACAAACCTGTGCAGAGAAACAGAGCGTGTGAAGAGGCAGTGTATTTGGTTTTAATAATAAAACACTTGGAGGAGACTAAGGCTTTGTTTGCTATGAAGTTGTGCAATGACAGAGAGATAACACAGAACAAACCCACCCCGCGCCGATTCAAAATAACCCCAGTGCTCACATCATTGCCCTCAGTCTCGAAGACATCAAAGAGCAGAGTTATGCGATACTGTGTTGGGGCGACAAGCTGCCAGATGCAGTTCTTGTTTGGGGGGTACTCTCTGGGCCAACCGGGGCTGGTAATGGACCCGTTCAGCTTGGTGATGAAACCTCCACAGGCAGCTGGACAGAACACACAACATGGGAAGAGACAAGTAATAGTTAGCTTCGTAGTTACATGCAGATGTGCAGAAAAGAGAAAACAGCTTATCACCGTATGTCTCCACAGGATGTTCTCCAAATGCATTTATGTCATAAACCATACAGCTAAAACAAAAGCCCCTGTGATGTATCCTCCTGTGTCCTGAATTAATCGGGATTAGTGCTTGACCTGCGTGTGACAACTCACAAAAGCTCTGCAACAGTTATGCAACACAACACGATGAACAAACTAGTGTCGCCCATTTCAGTACATTGCTATTTTCTGCCACTATTTCAGTGAATCATTGTTTAACCTACTGCATACATGTTTTGTTGACACATGGATTTAAAGTTATTAAATGTGGCCAAATGTTGCAAAGTAAAAAATGTACGTTTCAATGGTTATTTGAAGAGCAATACACACGAACTACAGATATACCAGTTTCACATATAATCTTTCTCACTGTGTATTAATGCAGATATAATTATCCTTAAATAGTAGCTTCTTTGTTTGTTTGTGTATTCCCCAGAATATGCTGCTCCCTTTTTTTTACATGCAATAGAAACACAACTAATACATATTTTTTCTGTATCTCTATTTAAAAACAGGTTTCCTTATACTTTAATGCAACATTTTTTATATTTGACAGTTGACAGAATATTAATATGAAAGTAGAGCATATTTTAAGATTGTTGAATTGAAAATGTTCTCTGTAAAGCTGATTTGTCACTCCTGGGGGGTTGTTGGATATGACAATATATTTGATCACACATCTGACAGATTGTATCCATCCTTTCTTTTTTTAATTGTTGTGTAATTTGTTTAATAGAAATACTTAGATGCTCTTTAATTTGTGCTCTCTTTGTTTTCAACTGAAGCTACTTAATAAATTGAATTCTGTCAGACATAACAAAGCTGTAGTGACAGCCGACTTCCTCTAGAGGGGGTGGACGGTGGTTAAGTGGTCAACCAGATATTCTGCAGCTTGTTTACTTATTGTCAGGTCTGAAACAACATGTAATTTGAGCTAAAAATAATGCTTGCATTGTTTGTCCCAAATCTTTAAAAGACAGTGATCAGCCAGCGCAGACATCACAGTAGGCTTTATGGAATGACTGAGCTTATTGTTTCTGGATGAGTAACACTGTAAAGTGCTTTAGCGTGTAAATTAAAAGGTGAGTAGAGCTGGTGACTTGTCTCCCTGTCCTTACCCTCGCAGCTGCGCTTGTCAGCAGCCAGCTCATAGCCCGGGTCACAGGCACACTTGTAGCTGCCCAGTGTGTTGACACAACGTTGCTCACAGCGACCGTTGTCCGGCTTGGAGCACTCATCCATCTCTGAAAACACAAAGATATGTTAGGACCCTGTTCGCCGGCCCCCCTGGATTGCTGGTGTACAAAAGAAACTCTTCAAAACATCCCCAGAGCCAGACAAAAAGGGTCGCACAGAATCTGGCTGTGCAATAATGTGTTACAAATGTTAACTGCTGTAATATTCAAAAGAAAACAACGGACAGACCGATTGCTGGAACGCGTAAAATAAGATTATGACCCTTAATGTCTGACCTTTAAAGAAGTTTGCAGCAAAGCCAGCCTTGTTCACCGAGCCATCTGACACGAATTTCATCCACAGCTGGTTGGAGCTGGTTTTGATGTCATCTGGCTTGTCGTAGCCACAGAATCGGCCCAGCAGGGGACTGTTTTCAGAGTTTCCATCGCGCACCTCCAGGTAGTCATAGGCACAACTGTCATGTCTCTCAATCTGAGAAAATAAGAGAGGGACATTAGTCAAAATCTTCAAATAAGTTGTAATATTCACACAGCAAAGAATTACTTGAATGAAAATATTTAAAGAAGGATAGGTGACGTACTTCAAAAGACTGGAAGGTAAGTCCTACATGGTAGCCCTGAGCTACAGTTACTTTCCACACGCACACTTTGTTGGGCCTGTAGTCATCAGGGTAGTTGGGGGATTGGATCTGGCCATTGTCTTTCTTCACCTCCCCACCACAGATAGCTGCATGTGACAATAAAAAAACAATACTGAGTTCCCCTTGATAGTAATATCATCAGCACATGCCTGGAAAGAAACCAAACGCTCACTGTTCTGATTAATGCAGGGTGGATTAACGGATATACCTGCACCATCAGCTCCAACACACGCAAACATACACACCAACCCTTCGCGCCGTCTGGAAACAATGGAGCTTAATGTGAAGGCCGGCTAAAGTCTAATTAATGCAGTGTAAAAAAACCTCACACATCAGCAGTAGGGGAGCCAATAAACTGGGGATATTACTGCAGCTTCTAGGCACATTGTTGGATGTGTGAGCGGCCATGCGTTCAGTCAGCTGAGCTACATACTGGAGCGGGGTTCAGGGAGGTCGGGAGTACGGGTGCTTACCCTCATAGACGGCGGAGAATCCTTTTCCCACCCAGTTGCTACTGCTGCGGAATTCAATCCACAGCCGACTGTCGGTGGAGATGATTGGTTCAGGCAGCTTATCACCACAGAAACGACCTGGGTCACAGGTGAGGACACAAACATAAAAAGCACATTTTTTTCATTATGACACCTGAGATAGCTGTGAACATTCTCTACACAGCTTTTTACTTTACAGACAACAAATTCAGCTGTGAGGCAGTTGTGAGGTATATAAAGAGACTATATTGACAATAAGCATCTTTAATTTAGTATTTAAAGTTTGGTTTATTCATACAATGTTTGTCAGTATGAATACCTGGAACCAATGGAAGTGTCTGGTGTATTTTGTAACTGGACTAATCAAAAACGTGGCTTTTCCCTACAGTTCCTGTAAATAATCTCAATATTTTATATATTTAAACACATGTAAAAACCTTTGTCTAGCTGCCACTGCTGTTCATCCTTGTATCAATAGTGCAAAAACAAATTGCAACACCAAGTCAAGCTACTTTCTAGCTTTACTTTTCTTCCATCGCAGTAAACAGTATTTGATAGAATTTTGGCTAGACAAATAAGATGTTTAGACATTTAAAATCTTTACAATCAAATGATCTAATGAAGCTATATTTTCATGAATTGTAAGTTGGAGCCCCAGTTTGGGTACAACTCCTTAAAAACCAACCTTTTAGAGGAGCCTTCCTCCAGTATCCGTCTCTGATTTCTACATGGTCGTACCAACATAGGTGACTCCGGTACAGATCCATGGAGGTAAAGTTCAGAATGATCTAAGAAGCAAAAGACAAAGTGGGTACTGATACAGTGAACTAAAGAATAAAAAACACTGACTCTTGATTCATATCAAGTAACTGAGACCTTGCTTTGGTCTAAGCACTTTGTGAGTCTTGATTTAAAGGGTTCAAAGTTGACCTGGCATTTCCATTCAGTACCTTCTCGCCCGGTGTGACTGATATCCTCCAGATGCAGTGCATGTACGCTGAGTAACCATTTGGAAATCCAGGCGAGGAGAAGTTCCCGCTGCTGTCCTGCAGACTGTCCCCACATCCTGAGCACAGAAACAAACGCACACAGACCCACACGTGAGGCCTGAGCTGTGAGCATGATGCACTGTCAACTTGTTCCTGCCTGAATAACACCTAAGCCACTCAACTCAAGCTCTCTAGCCATCAGCTCTAAGGTAAATCCCCTTAAACCTCGCTGCAGGGACAGACACTGGAGCTGGAATCATAACAGCAAATGTGAAGTAAAGGACAACTCTTTCATGTTCAAAGGCACATCTGCTGACAATGTTCACACACAACCCTGCACCTCACACCCCTCTCATTCACCCCCCCCCCCTCCCCCTCCCCCCACCTTCTCCAGATGATGATCACACAAAAGAAATGAGAGTGTGAGCATCCTCTGAAGATAAAATAAACAAAAATAAACCCACGATGAATAAACAAGGCCTCTGGAGGATGTTATGCACTATGTTCGTGTTACCTGTGAAAGAAACTGCCTTACGTTGACTGGCTGAAAACTAAGCGTGCAAGGTGAGAGAACTGATTCCAAACACAAAACACGGCCTCGTAAAAACATCTGAGGAAGAAGCATGCCAAGTGGGGGTAGATGTGTTTCATTAAGACTTAGAGGAAGTGATCAAGAGAACTATGCATCTTCAGTTTTTTCTGTCTAAAGACAGAAGCAGTAAGGAAACATTTCCCCTTGACTTTTCTTTGCTTCCATCAATTGTGCTGTAGCAATAAAACTAGCTAAAGAGTTGTGTGTAATAATGCTCGGTAGAGATTTGCCAATTACTAGCTCCTTAACAAGCACTTAGGTTCACACCGGGGATGACAGACGATAACAGGAATGCTGCATGAATGGGAGATCCGTGGCGCTTTACGGAGGTTTTTTCCTCAAGAGCATGTGGAGACTCACTACCTCATCCCTCACAAAGTGAGTCAGAACATCCAGTCAGACTCTTTCTCACGAGACAGAGAATTTTGTGAAGGAAGAGCCGATTCATTTAGGGTTAAAACTTCCGGTCCTAATCGTATAAACCACACCGGCTGGTCCAGCTCTGGTCACAATGTATATTCATTAGGCTTTAAAATAAGGCTGGCAGCTCAGTTTGTCCTGGACTGACCTGTAATTAAACTGTCTGAAGCAAAATATATTCAGCAGAGACTGGTCACAATGTACATCTGTTAATGTAATCAATTGTGTTTACTCCAACAGCATTATATCCTCTCTCTCCTCTCTGCAAAGCGTAAACACAGTGAGTGGTTAAGAAAGGCTTACGTAACGCTCCTTAGAGTATCGTCTCACAGTTTACGTTGTACAAGCTGTGATGTGTGGACATGAGCCCTGTTCCCAACATCCTTTTCGTCATTCTCTTCCTCAATCACAGCTGTTCCTTTGGGTCTATCTGGGAACGAGTGGTGACACACTTCCTGTCCCTGGGTAGTCTTTGCACTCCTCCCAGCTCGGGATTGTCGGACGTTGTAGCCAAAGAACCACATCAAGAGTAGCTGCGTGGCTATTTCCACAGCTCTCTCTCTCTCTCTCTCTCTCTCTCTCTCTCATGTTGCACACAGATGCAAAGAAATAGGCAGGAAAAACCCACAGCAGACAGGATTTGTCATTTTAGTCTTACTGGAGCATTTGTAGAGTTTGCGTGCCTGTGTGATATCCCCTTTGCTCAGCCTGGTTCTCTGGCCAATTGGTGGTCGTACTCCATTCACATCATAGCGTGGCAGGATGGTGTCCAGGAAAATGCCTCTGTAATTCAGGGAGAGAGACTGACGTTAATGTGGCATAAAACACTGACAGTGTGCACACAATCCTGACTCTTTTTCAAACATTGATTTAGCCTACTAAACATATCTGATCAAGAACTAAGAGATGTAAAAATCAATCAGTGCATTTCAATCATTTTCTCCTAATAAAAGAATACAGAACCATTGATTTTATTTATTTAATACTTTTTCCTTCTCCATGTCTGACCAAAAAGCGTGAAGGTTAAAGTACGTGTGTGTCTACATGTATGATGGGGTCCTTATTGTCATTATTTTCATTTTATTTCATAATAAAAGGAAACAAATCTATTTGTTTTGATCCTTCAGATCTATTTGTCACAGGCTAAATTGTAACAGATGTACTGTTGCATTCACTTATCACAGTCTCCTTGAGGTCAAGGGTCACACGGCCTGTTTCTGAAGTTAATGCTGACATCATTCTTCACACACACACACACACACGTCTGCTCTACAGATGGACCCAAACGAAGAACTCTTCTCCAGAGTTACTGAGAATGACCTGCACAATCTGGAAAAGGCAGGGAGGTGAACACCAGCCACACGCCTTGTTTAAAGTCTAATATGAAAACTGTCAAAAAACAAACAAAAAAACAAAAACAACAACCAGGCGCAGCAGAACAGAGTTCTCATAGTAGTGTCTCACTTGACACTTTGCTAGTTTATCATCTCCATTTTTTTCAAGTATTGGCGAGCAACGGCCTGGCTCCGTAGTCGTTCCCATGGTGACATGCCTATCAACGCCAGGCATGTGCAAACAGAGCAGCCTGGGCTAACAGTTTAGACTCTGCCTGCCTGCCTGCCTGCCTGCCTGTATGTCTGTGAGCTTCCAGGAGCCGGTATGCTGGCTGCTGGTGAAAAACGCCGCTGCAGCCGGTGTCAAAGCAGACAAAAGGCACACTAGCAGGTCTCTATTTGAGTTGGCACCAATCCATGCACTAGTACTAAAAAATATATCTGGAGTGAAGGAAAGAGGGGTGCAAAGTTGTGGGTCGGGTAACACGGCTGAGACAAAAAAGCAAAGGGGATCAGCTCTGCTTGTCCCCAGGAGACATTGCAAAACATCAAGACAAGCCATGAAATCTTTCAAACAACACCCACGGCAAAAGCCCTGGCTTCCCACGGTGATTTACTGTAAAACACAGAGCAAACACCCCTGCTAATAATGGGGTAACAAAGACAGCCACTGGCACAGGTACATGAGCCAATCGGTGCTCAAGAAAAAAAGTGCTGGGAATGACCTGTGAAAAGCTAACAGGAGCCCCTTGTCTGCTAATACAGCTCTGTGAAACATTCCCCAGCAGTGGCAGTCAGTCCTCTGTCATGTCAGTCTAAAGGGGCTTTTATTGATCAACATGGTTACACAAAGAGTTGGAGCTGGAGCGGTGGATTAGCTGACATACACATACTTTAGGGCAGGCCTGCTGAATTGTGAAGCAAAATGTGGTTCATACTGTGTTACATTTAGATCACAACTCTTGACCTGAGAGCTAAATCAACTCAATGGATCTCCTGTCATTTAGTGCTGAGCAGACTGTAATCTAAATTGTATCTAATCTGTAAACCTATCATCTAAAACACCTCTCTTTATGATTATACAAACATTTATCAGCTGCAGTGGAATTTGTTCAGCTCAAAAAAGTACCTTTCATGTTCTAACCGGTTCTAACCTGCTAATGAAGTTATTATATGCCTCTATTTTTCCACATTCTTTTTATTTCAATGTGTTAAACGAATCACTAAAACCAAGCATGATGTATTTCTTGAAAAGAAAGGGTGCAGAATTTCAGTCTTATTCTATGTGCAGTGCATTTTTGACCTACAGTTAGGATGCACGGGGCCAGACAGGCATTTCTGTACATTGGCCTCCACCCAGCTGCAGCCTCAGCTTAGACAAAGATTCCCTCTCTGCTTCCCAGACTCTGTTTGCCGCAGGAGCATTGCAGTTGATTCGGGAAGAGGCCCATACACTAAGAGAGTCACACAGGGCATGGGAGAGTTGATGGTGGGGGAAGTGAAAAAATACATATACAGCTGAGGAGTAAGAACAAGGGGAGAGCCAACAGCTGGTTTTCCTATCAGAGTTAGGTAAAAGTGAGTCAGGACTTACTTTTTTGCTTTAACTTTTGTGTGCACAAGGAATATATTACAGCAGCTCTGGCTTTCTTGCTGACCATTATATTCCAGCTATAGGTAAAACACTGCAAAACAATTGTTCCTGCAGCTGTCCTAAAGATTACCCCACATTGTTTAACTATGCAATAGAGTCAAATGGTCAAAATGCCGCTTTCATACACAAGACTAAGGTCACATCCTGCCCATGTCAGCTAGTGGTTACCATAATATTTATATAACTTGATGTAAAGTATGCTTAAACTGACACTAAATCTTAGTCAACTTCTCCCAAGGGGTCTTTTTAGGCTATAGTCACCCTGTTAGTAAAAAGCACTTCAAACTAAACACAGCCTGCGATGACTCGAGTGAGATCCTAGACTGACCAGTGTTTGTCACTGGGATTTTTTTTAGTTAGTAGTGCTGCATGACATCACAACATCTGGAGGGACTTCCTGTAGCAACAACAGGGAGTAGTGAATGGGGTCAGCTGGCAACAAAATAAAGTGGCATCATAAGTATGACACATTCACAGTTCTGCTTTTAAAAACAGAGGTCCCTCTATGCAGGTTGTTTCCACTGTTCAGCATTTCAATACCAAGTTTGGCTACATACATACACAGTTCAGCCACTTTTGTCTATTTATTTATCTACTGCCCAAAGTCTAAGACACACACATTTTAAGTCACATGTGTCTTAAAGCCTGGGGAGTACAACAAATTTCCACTTGTCCGTTCCTTACCATAGGTAGGAGCATTTCAGGGGTTGGCCTAAATAGTGCTGCAGAGGATATTTTATTACAACACCTGAATGCTATGAAGGTTCTATATGAAGACTATGCAGCAGGCATAAATAAATAAATATATAAATAGAGTCCCTGAAGAGGCCTCGGGTGACCACGACGCTACTTATCATCAAAGCCTCTTGAAAAGGTCATTAGGAGCATAATGAGGCGGTTCATAGTTTGAGGCACAACTTTTACAAGAAGCTCCACGTAGCCTTGAAAGTGGCGTGCAGAAACTATGTTGTGAGGAAGCAGGGCTACTGTAAGTGGGCTAGCTCAGCAGCAGGATCAGGACTGGTGCTGCTTTACTGCAGCTGCTGGTGCAAAAGCAGCATGAACCGAGGAGAAGGGCCTTAATTTGAGCAGGCTGTGGGAAGGAAGCTGGCACTTTCACTACTGCTACAAAGACTTGGCTTTCCCTTCTTAGAAAAAAAAAAACCATAGTAGAAAATCAATTCAAGTTTGTCAGAGGTGTTTATTTTGTATCATTTTGACACAAAGCTCAGAGCCTTTGTTAGCTGAATGAGAAAGTAAAGTGGAAAAAGATGTTCATCAGGATGCAAGAAAAAATGATGAAGCAAATACTCAATGAAACTGGAGTCGTCAGCACAAGCTGTTTCACACAAGCATATTATTTTTTGACCCTCCTCATTCCCAATGCAGCAATAAGCATTTAAATCGTATCCAAATATTACATAAATCACAATAGTGCTCCCCCATCTACTTAAACCACATGCAATGGGAGCAATGGCTGTTTAAAAACATTTCACCCAAGAGAAACTTTGGCCAGAGAAGGAGAGCATTTTGTTCTAAATAGAGCTTTTGTAGTAGCAACATATAAATACCCACTAAAGACCCACCTTTTCCCTGGAAAGCCATTTCTGTCTCTTTGTACTTAAACTCCGATAGTGAAGAAACAATTCACATCCAAGACAGACACTGAAGGAACAGTAAGCCCTTTCTGTCTTTGTGTCCTCAGGCTACGTGTTAGTCTTCAAGTGATTTATTATTGAGGGGAATTAAGTGTTTCATTCTTCTTTTCAGTTCTTTGGGAATCCTGCCACATTTCTCAGCAGCCTCCCAAAGACATAGACCTGGTGCATTACAGATCAATATAGTCATAAAATAATGTTTAAAAAAAAAATGACTCTCAGCAGAAATGGAAAACAACAAGAAGGGTTAAAAGGTTGCAGCAGAGTGGGAAACTGCTCAGCCTGACTTGATCTAACACCAGTTCTTAAGTCTGGAGTGCAAGCAGTGGAACTTGGCTTGGCTCCTACCTGGAGAATGTATTCCTGGCATAGTGCATGATACTGTCAAAATCATAGACTTCTCCCAAAGAGTCCACCTCCCCCGGCTCCATCTTCAGAAAGTTATACTCTTGCCCTGTGAGAAGAGACAGTGAGAAGAACAGTTGGAACATGAAGCTGAGTCACACTGTGCAACCTTACGTATGTGAGCCAAAGGTGAATACAGTTTTACTCCGTCTGAATCACACAATGAGGCTAGAGATTCCAATAAGCCACTTGCATTAGTGCATGCGAAAGCCAGTGATATTTCAGGCTGTAGTACTTAAGGTTGTAGTTGTTGGTGTTTGGCCTGGTTACTGAATGTGTCATGAGAAGCCTTCTGTGTGGGGTTGTCTATCTCTAAAAACACCTGGATTAATAGAGCGTAGCAGGCCTAGCATGAGCAAAAACTGGCTCACAATTCTGTGTGTCTTTTTTATTATTTTGTCTCTTCTTTCCAATGTCATTGTTGAGAGACCTATGCCCCTACCTGGCTGAATGTTGTCCCTGATAATGCTGACGTGTTCGTCTCGGTCAGGCCTCGTGTGCTCGTGCCAGAATCCGATCACATGACCCAACTCGTGCACCACAATACCAAACTTGTCACAGTTTTTTCCGATGGATATAGCCTGGGGGCCCCCTCCTCGACGACCAACATAGGAGCAGCACCTGTGAATCAACAGCCAGACACACACACACACACAGACAGTGTTAACAAAGCCAAAATATAGTGGCTACATTTTATGTCTTAGTACGTGAAAAAACCCTTAACAAGCGAGTAGTAACTACAGCAAGTGGCCAGAAAAAGAATCATGTTCCCCAGGGGAGAAGAAGAAGAAGAAGAAGGAATGTGTCTCGGGCTCTGTAACGTCTAACTGGCCTATATTTCATCCTGCTCTGAACATATATAATGACTCTTGTAATGAGAACGACATTACCTTAACAGCCTCTGGTCTGTTTTACAAGAAAGCTTAATGAGGCTACCTGTCATCCACACATACAGCAGTGACATTCATTCATCCGCCTGCCAATGCAAATGCTGAGAGTGAGGACGGAGGCTGGTTGGCTTCGGCGCTCCATCTCAGCGTGACTTGAAAGGTTCAGTGTGGGAGTGTGGAGGACGGGCACACACATGGCTGCCCTGTGGGCCAGACAGCAGCTCTCTAATTACTGCGAGCCCAGCCAGGCTCTCCTGAGACACGCCTTGAACTTTGCACAGGACAGATGGGGACCTGCTGAATATGCAGCAGAGTCAAGTATTCCCACTGCTAACCGCTGCCGCCTGCGTGGATAATGTCATCGCTTTTGCTTTAGAGGCCAGGCTAAAAATGGCTATCAACAGTTGTTTGGAAAAAAAAAAAATAAGTTTCATGATCTGCATCCTCTTTCTGTTAAGCTGTTTGTTTTGAATGATGCATATCAGTGGGAGAGGTTCATTGTGTGTGATGACATAATGGTTCCAGCTTGTGTTTCTAAATCTGTGTGAGGTTAAAACATGGGAACGTTTTAGGATTGTGTGTCCCCTGGGAACCTCTCTAATACTTTCTCTAATAGCTCTAGCCTCTTTTCCCTCAAACCTTAAATTATAAGGGTGTGCTGGTTCGTGTGCACCAAATGCTTTTATCTAAAAATATTTTATCATTAAACAAACAGACCTCTAAACGTCCAAACAGATTGTCAATTGTCGCTTAGCAACAACTAGAACCACAACCAGAGCTTCCTCTGAGTATTTGTTTGAGAGGAAATGCTGAGTGGACACTAAATCCAACTTCAGTGGTAAACAGGGTTATGGAGAGGCTGAGGCTGAGTCTCCCCCTTGGGCGCAATTATGTACATCATGCATGACACCAGTGGTCAGTGACGGATAAGGAGTGATGATGAGGCATAGGAGACATTCCTGACCACTGATTGGTCACCTCTCACAGGACCTGCGGGGGGGTTGAAATAACAGCTCACACAGAGACTGCGGACAGAAAGGATCAACAATGGGGAAAGGCTGCTGAGCGGAAAGCAAGGAAGAGTACTAAGACGCTACATAATTAGCTGCAGATAATGAAGGCTCAACAGAGCCCGACCATTGTTCAGTGTCTTCATGTGGGAGCTGAAAACCCCACTGACTCACCCACATGGTCGGTATGTGAAGACAATATAGCTCTCCTCCTGCGTCCTCTCTATAAAGGTCACGCAGGTGTGCTTCTCCCAGTGCCGCATGGCCTGCCGGAATATCGCCCGCTGGCTTCCTGAATAAGACGAGAGAGAAAGTGAGATCAGTGGAGCTGACACACACACACACACACACACACACACACACACACACACACACACACACACACACACACACACACACACACACACACACACACACACACACACACACACACACACACACACACACACACACACACACACACACACACACACACACACACACACACACACAATTCTATTTTTTCTGATTATGGTTCCACAATATTTTATCAATTATATAAAAAAAAATGTATTTTACTTTTGTGCAATTACCTAACACAACTCAAATCACACATTGTTATTTAGAGCTATGTACTTCTTCATCTGTTGTTTCATTTCGAGGAGTTATAAAAAAAGTTGAAACAAAAGTTGATGCCTCAGTGCTTCATTTTTTGTTGCAACTGGAGTTATGGTGCATAACTGAAGCAAAACACTGTGTCCTTTTTTTCATTCTGGACCACCAGACTTTGAAAATCGCTGACATTTTAAGGATACAAAATGTTATCTGTTAAAAAGCAGAATGGACTTTTTCTATCAATGAGCACAGATGTTTTACTTACCACTAAAGTTCCCACTGATGACATAGGGAATAACACCTTCAGGCCAAACACGCTCAGGTCTGGAGGTGGCCGCTCTTTTCCTACGTCGTGAGCCCGGCCTGTTAGGGATACTCTGAATGGTTGATCCTGAAGATTTGAAAATCAAGACAACAAAGATGAATCATTCCTGTCTGACAGAATTAAAGTTTCACCAGCACTTAATTCATAATGAGCAAATATGTTTCCCACTTTTTATCCTAAAACTAAACGAACAGAAAATCGAATTATTAGGCTCATTTAGGGAAATTACTTTTTCTTCCTTCAAATAACATTGTTCATCCTATTCTGCACAAAGGGATTTCACTGAAGCTTATTCCTTTCTTCTTCTAAATGAGTTTCATCATTTTAATGTCACTCAAACGCACATTAATGCAGAGTAACCATGGAGACTAAGCTCCCACCTAAACCTGCTCATTATAATGAGACACATCCATATGTGAAACACACATAGTGTAATCGCCCTCCTGTTCTTCATTAGGCTGCAGAACAGGCACAACTTGTTTTTGAAGCAACCACTGTTAATTAAACTCTTTCAGATATGAACCCATTTCACAGAAATATTCAGTGTTATAGGACAAAGTGTGCATCCCAAATATCAAAGATAACAGCACGCATGTGTTTTTAATGGTTTTAAATGAATGATGCAGCTTTGTGGGGAAATAATAAGAATGTTTCTTCCATTACAACTTCAATTCTGAATAGCATCGTATGTTTAGCATGAGGTCAGTAAAGGAACATGAAGACGTTTCACATGGATAGGTTTCTATTATTTCCATGAAGCTGAAAAGTTAAACAAACAGAGATTAGATTCATCCTGAGCTATCTCATGGAGGATTGCATCACTTCTGCAAAGTGAAATGACGCCTCAGCATGTAAACATTGATTTTAAGCAGGACATGTTGAGAAGTACAGAGACAGCATTATCTTATAAACCACAGGCCATGAACAATGTGGTAAACACTTAAGACTTCTGACCTTCCAAGGAATCAACTCTTCTGATTATGTATGCTACATTGCATCACCCTTTCTTAGGCACTGTAGACTCTTCACCTTGTAAAGTAGGATATGTTCATATTGTTTTCATCTGAACAACTGAAGCGGTCTGATAACTATCGATGTGTTTTTAGTTCATTCAGTTAATGAAGGGTAGGAATGTCACAGGTGTGTTTGAACAGATTCATGATGTACAAACAAGGACATTTTAGTTTTGTTCCTTCTGTTCATTCCTTTATCTTTTTAAATATTACAAACCAAATCATATGGATTTAGCTGAACATGTTTATGTGCTTGGAGGGTTTGGCATCTGCAGATTCTTTCCACATAAAGATCCAAACATCTGATTTCACTCCAGTTTGAAGGTGATCCCGTAAATAAATCTGTCAGTGTTTCACTTCAGTGAGGACCTGCAGTAACCTATTGATGCAAGAACCTAGAATACAATACAATAATTACTTCAATGTTTATTTGTATAGAGCCAAGTATGAAGCAAATAAACAGATGCTACACATTACAACACTTATAGCCGAAGTTTGCACTGCCTGTCCCTCGATAGACAATGTCCCTCAGTTAGATCATTAGTGAATCCTTTAGCATATATTAAAATAAACTTGTCGAATGGTATCCATTGAAAAGCTTTGTTTGCTTTGCTTGTTTTGAGGAAGTGGAATAGGAGGGCTTCACTTCAACATAATAAAAAACACTGTAGAACTTCACCTGGATGACCCTGATGAAGGCAACAAGCCAAAACATGCTGGTTTCACAATAAACGTTATCCTAAAAGTATCGCTGCAGAAACAAGAAAACAAGTACATTTGGTTTCAGTACATTCAGCAGCACAAAGGTTGCTGTTCCATTACAACACCCCCAGCTCTCGTCCTGTTTGAAACTAGATTTGATTAAGATGTAGGCCACAGTTCGCAGCATGTTTCTTTTCTGCTTGGACAATGTGTTCTGCTGAATTTCAGCCTGCAGGAAGTAAATCTTAGCAGCCTGCAGAGATCAATTAGCATGTCCACACTTGTGCATGTGTTGAGGAAAAGTCTGATAACAGCCAAATCTCCTCGGCGAACTGATAAGAAATATTGCTGGAGACAAACTTGTAGAAGATGTGTTAATTACAGCAACATGATTAAATCTAATGCGATAGGGAATGCTCATAGAGATTTCATTATTATTTTTCTGTTGGCATTATTTTTTTCAAACCAAATTACACAACTTTTTAAATAACATAGGGAAGACAGGGCCAGTGAAGAGACACGACCATGCTTAAGTATTCTTCTTTGCGTCAATTAAACGCACTCAATAACCTCAAATCAATTTTTAGAAATAATTGTATACACCATCTGAATCCTAAGGCTCATCTTAAATCCTTGTTCCAGAGGTCACTAGTCAGTCTGCAATCAGTCTTACTCAGTGAGTATTTTAAGTACAGTTCTAACATATTTTTAATCCTCCAAAATCTCTTTTTACCTCAACATGCTCATTAAATCGGATGAAAAGAAGCGAACTGAAACCATTCAAGCACAGACAGCAACATGCACGCTCATGTCGGTTCATGCTCACCTATACTTTATAGGACTGTAAAGACTATTGGTTTCTGTTGACTCACAGCTGTCGCTTAAGTACTGCTTTTCATTCAGACACATTTTACAAAGCCTAAAAATTACTGTCCACCGTGGTGGTACAGGTGTGGCAATGTGCCAAAACAAACTCTCAACTAGATGATATAAGTACTTTGGACAGTTCAAAAGTCTGTGTACAGAAAGCAAAGTTCAACTTGTTTTTACAAAAACACTCTGATAAGTATCATGTGGAGTTTCCCCCTCTTGTTTTGTTGTTGTTACCTGGGTCTGTGTGATTAACCATGTGGACAGTTCTCTGAGCCAAATCTATGATTCTGTCCACTTTGAACATTCGAAGGTCCTCTTCATCCAGAGCTATGTCTCCCAGAAAGGCAACTGAAACAGACAAACAGAGATGGCAGATATCAGAAGACTGTTTGAAAACTGCACAATTTAGAGAATATCGTTGTGAGGAGGACAGTTGCCTCAAGCTTTTCCTGCCACTCAGACAGAGTGAGGCTGCACCGAGGTCAAAGCACTCGCGGACAACCTAGAGCATGTAAAACAAACTCATTCACAAATATAAACTTCATTCCTTCCCTGAGTTTGTTTTTTTGAACAGTAAATAGAAAAAGAGACGTGAAAGTGCAGCATGTCTGTCTAAATAACAAAAGTCCCTTATAAGGAGTATTTCAGTCCTTATATGGACTGTAATATAAGCAACATATTGTGCATGGCTTGTGAAAGTTTAGTGCAAAAAAACAAAAAGTTTGAACTCAGAAACCTGCCCACTGATGTGATTAATTAAACCATGTTCAATCCAGATGTTACAAAAAACACACTGTGTGCTCTGGCGCCTCTGGATAGTTAATGAGAAAAATCATATGTAATACAGTGAGACACTGACACTGCCTCCATGGACTAATATGGGGCACCTTGAACATGTAAAAGGTCCTTAATGAGGCCAAGGAGAGAGAAAAAATAACCAAACAGTCTCCCTTTATGAGGAATGTGCTTTATGGGATTCCTTACTATATGCCTCATTTCTGCTGAGGATAAGCTAGGAGTCGTCTCACTTTTACAGGCTCTTAACACCACCACAACTCTACAATTTATGGCCTGGTTTGTATGCAGAAGTTGCGTTGGGGGGATGGGGGGGTGGGGGGCAGAGGCAGAGGGGGAGAGAAGGGCAAAGAGTTGGCACAGTAATCCCCGTCTGAACAGAGGATGACAATGAGAGAGAGATGGGAAAGGAAAGAAAGAAGGGACATCCTCTGGTCCCAAACCACAGCTCTGAGAAGGGAAGGCAGATGTGGAGCACAGAGAAAATGAGAGCCGTCTGGATGTGTGTTTGGAGGTTAGTATGGTGAAGGGGAGACAGGCGTAGAGGGGTAGGAAGCCAAGGGACCCACTAAACTGTAGAATGAATGGCCGTGATTTAAAGAGGTGGCATTTGTTAAACATTTGAATCTTTAGAACCTTTATAGTGTCAACCTGATACAAGAAATGTGTAAATCAAATTTTGTTTTCCTCTTAAGTGTAGAAGAAAAACATTCAGGGAAATGCTCTTTCATGTCTGGAACTGCTATAAAAGTTTGACAGAGGTCTGAGACAAGGGAAAATGGGGATAAAAAGCACAATAGAAACAAAGACCAGAAAAAAAAAACAACGCTTGGCAGGCATGCATCCCTATTCACTAGCAGAGTATTATTGAAACAATCTGGAGTCGGCTCTGGTTTACACAGGCCCATCTTCCGCCCTGCAGGTCGTAGAGGTTGCACAGCAGAACGACTTTGTTTGGGATTACAGGATAATGACAGCAATAAGAAAAAGGTGTAGATCACTGATGGCATGACAGGGCACGCACAGAGGACAGGTTTAAATTCCAGAGGTCAGAGGGATCCTTTAATTTGTGCTCGCAAAACACACTAATTCCCTCAGACTAAATCCCTGAGACACAACACAGAGCACTCACATTCAGCACTCACACTGCCAAAAACACTGCTGATAAGGGGAAGCTTCCAGATGTCGCGCAGTAAAGGATGGGGGGGGGGGGGCTACAGAAGGACAGTATTCTCTTTTATCTTCACAATTTAATGATTTATTCTCAGAAGTGCTCCAGAGTTGAACAGAACAGGCAGTCCTTGAAACAATGAAATCCAAGTTGCTGTCATATCATAACGGAAGAGAAAAAAAAAAAAAGTGTTCAAAACAATTCCATGGAACTTTTCTTTACTTCATACTGGCTGAGGAGAAATTAAGTGACACTAGGATGAGATTTCTTTTCACATGCAGTGTCAATTTGCACGTATTAGTAGTTTTATGTGCGGGCTGTGACCAAAAAACGGGGGCAGGCTTTCTCCCACCCCCATGAGGTTCACAGAGGGCTGAGCTCTCTGCCCAAATCTCCACCGCTGTGCTGAAGGCAGGGCCGGCTAATCCGCAGTGTCATTGTTCTCAGACAACGGTGGAGATTGAAGTGAGCAAATGCACGGCCTGGCGGCATTAGGACTCATTTCCCCCGGGCACAGCAAATCGTCCTGGAGACGCTGTTGCAGGTTTATGGAAAGACTCACAGGGATTGCGGATTAACCCCCTTGTCTCTTGGCTTTAATTATCCACACACACATGGTTTTAGAGAATCTTTTGTACAAAACTCCAGGCTGGGATTGAGGGCAGGCTATGGAGAAAGGTGATAAACTCATCTAGATCCGTAGCTCCGCACTGATATGACACAGGGAGACTCGTGTGGTGGAGTGTAGATTAAAAAACCCAGTGATCGCGGCAGATGGCAAGTGATCACCATAGTCCAGGGTTGCATCTTGTTCCAAACATTGTTCATTACCTTAATTACAAAAGCTGCAGCACAAATATCCAAGCTGAATAGTTATATCATAGAAGGGTTTTTTTTAGGTTCATTTTACCTTTTGCATCTTATAAATCTAATAGAGAGGGTTAAAGATGAAGTGTAAATCTATGTGTGTGTACACATAACAGATTTATGAGATTAATTATGAAGATATGACAGATATTTTTGATGAATTAATGGATTGAATATGCCCACCACCCCTTCATTTACTTTTTTTGAGTTAATCTTAACCACCATAATCCTCCTCATCTAAAACCGCCCCATCTATCAGCCTATCCAGTCAGATTACACATGAGATCTCAATCAAATTAATCCCATTGATTCATGTAATGCCCTATCCTCGACCTCTGTGGTGTCAAATACTCCAGGACTATTCCCATAAATCTCCTTCTGTGGATACCAGACCACGACATCTGCCACTGAAACCTGCACAAACATCAATACTAAGCCTACGCAGACACTAACACCAGCCTATATTTAGCAGGCCAGCTCGGCTAAAGGCCTCGCTTTACTCCTCGCTGTGCTTATAGAGACGTTTCAAACAAGCTTTCTTTATACAAGCCCTAATGATGAGGGATGAGAAAGCTTGGCCAATATGTAAGCCTGGAATGCATCACAATACCCTGGCACCGCCTTTCACAGCCTGTGTTTGGAAACAAACGCTGCATTTGAATACCAATAGAGGCCAATAGTGTATTGCGTTAAGGTGATTACCATTAGATGACATTGTAAGTATCACTTTTCAGGTTTCATTCTGCAGCAGCCCTGGACGCTGGCCGCTGAAGTCATTGTCCCTACAAACACTGTGGGTTTAAATCTAGATTTTAAAAAAGCAGAAAAAAACCCTTCGACATAAGAATAAGTGTTTGTGAGAAGAAAATGAACTACATTATCCCAATTGAGGAGTGATGAATTGTATTATTCAGGACTTCCATTGTGTAAATATGCTACTTCTGTCCTTTGTAAAAACAACACCAGCTGTTATTTCTTCAGCAAATGCTTACCTCCATATTTCTTAACACTGCAATTTGAGTCCTAGGTAGGAGAGGACAAGGACAGATGTGCTCTCTTGCTCATTTCAAAAAGTTAATTGAGGTATAATTAGAAAAGAGAATCTGCTCAAGTCTCAAGCTCCAGGCCTGAGATTTGAGTAATTATTTTTTGAATAAAAGAGCTGAAGTCTCATCAAGACATTGAGTTACTGTCAACACACAGCAGCTTCAATCTTCTAGTGACAAAATGAGAGCCAGATGCAAAGGGCACACGGCAAGATACTGCCGCCCCTTTAACATTTCACACTCCATCAAGCCCATTAGCAGATTGGATTTCCCAGCTCATCTGTGCCACTGATTACTGATACACCATACTGCCAGTCAAACCCCCTGTAATGACTCATCAGCCCAGCAGCCATTTGTTTCTTTTCATGTCAACAACACGTAGCATTTGACCTCATTACAGGGATAAATAATTCATCATACTCAATCTCTACTGCAGGGATTTTCACCTTTGACAAAACTCATTTTGACCTTCCAGACTTCTTTGGACAGCAGAATCACTCACACAGCCTGATGTGAGGAAAGAGTGGGCTTTCTTGCCCACATGCCCAAAGGAAAGTTTAAATGAGGTTGTTGACAAACTAAATCTGGTAGATTTCATTGCACTTCAACCCCTTTCCATAAATAATAGTTATCTTCAGCTGAAAAAAAATTGAAGTATGCACCACAGGTGAAAAAACAATTCCTTCAGACAAACAACAAAGAAGCACAGATGATTTTTTTCTTAGATGAATCAAAGTGCGAGAAATGAAGAAGTGGCTATTACACTGCTCATTACGGAAGGCTAATTGAATGTCCCTTTGACCATTTAAAGTAGCTCTCTCTAAGCATTTCTTGTTACTTAGACTCTGCACCCACACTTTGTATTGATGCAATGCAAGATTAGTTATTACTTAGCTCTGACGACAAACATATTGCTCCAACTAGTGCAGCGAGATCCGGCCATAGATCGGCTACCTAATCACCTGAACCCTGCGGAGAGTGAAGCGGCAGGGGTCCTGTAATGTAAGAAAAACACCCAGTGTGGGCTCGCCTATACAGCCTGCAATCCATGATAAAAGAAAAGCAGCAGCTTAAGTGTTGTTTAAAAGCCCAATCATGAAGTTCAACAGGCAGCCCCATCACATTAGCCCAAGCAAGACTAAAAGGAGGAGGTGGGTGTTTTCACCGGCCATTTTTTTTCAAGAATCAAATGAACAAAGATACAAGGTAAAGAAAACCGCATAGTTTTGATAAAGGAGACAGTGATAGAGAAAACCCAACTCAAAACCCAATGTGTTTGCTTAATGTTAAAATATACATGTTGATGCTTTTAAGCAGAGGATTGTTTTACATCTTAACATCATTTTATAAATCTCTCATGCTACAGAAGTGCCTGTCTACTAAATAATCCTAATGTACTCTGCCACAAAGGCTTTTCAGAGGCTCTTAAGAGGCTCTTGAGTGACACTTCAGAGAATATAAACCAACACACTTGTAAAAAAAAAAAAACTCTGGAACTCGATCCTAAAAAAGAACCCATCTGTTGTAATTTAAATGACAAAACCACATCAGGTGAAACACTGTACCTTTAAGTCTTTCTCTTGTGGAGTAGGAGGGAGTGAAAAACTCTTCATATGCAGTTAGCACAACACTGCAGATAACCTATTGAACCCCCCTCATGAATGGGCTGCTCTCACTTCACCTGAGCTGGTGTGGCACAGTCAGACTGGCCTGCCCAGCCATGCTTCAGCCTGGCACGAGGTGAATGACCTACAGTCTGTGTAAGAGCCAGCCAGAGGAGAGGAGAGGAAAGGAGAGGAGAGGAGAGAAAACCACTCGCATAAGAGAGGACAAGAAAAGAAGGATGTGTTCAGGGTTGACCTGTCTGCAGCCGAGGCCACAGCAGCACGGGAGCGAAATCACCAGAAAAAAAAAAGTAATGTAAACAACACTTAAACAAACAGAGAGAGAGAGAGAAAAAGCAAAAAAAAAGCATTTGTTCACCTCAAACCTGTCCCTGCTCTCATAATTATTATTTAAGCAGAGCAGACAATGAACTCAACTGGTTCTCATCCATTTTTCATTACAAAATGAGTGGATCTAATCTCAGCATGCTGCCAGGGTCCTAAATTACTTCCTGGGAAGCTGCCAAGTCTGGAGTTCTGCAAACTCAGGAATTTTCCACTGGTTAACTTCCTAAATAGACGGCATTACTTCAGTGTTATTGCACTGCTTGCTTCAATCAATGCACATCTCTATCACGCCTGTGATAGAGATGAGTTATTTAATCCTGTCTACATGGGAACATTTTTGAGGGATTATATGGGTTTAACCAGGGCGGAGTGGCAAATGTGCCCTGTGGGGAAAAAGTCAGGAAGTTATTCAGCGTGTCTTTAAATTACATGAGGACATTAAACGTAATATTCACAACTTGGTCTATTAGCAAACTGACCAACACTCACGTAAAGTTGAATTAATTGGCCATAGTCGGTCATTAAAAAAAAGGAACTGTGATGCAAAACAGAGGACAAGCTTAAAATGCTTCCCTGCATCAGAAACTTCACACAGCCGTTAGCCGTTTCCCGGGGTGGAAGCAGTGTGACATAAAATGAAGAGCTCGAGGCCAAAGAAAGCGGTTAAGGTGACTCTGCAGCGATGTGCTGTAAAATGAGGAGGAAACAAATCAGGAATTATCAATCTTTCAAGAACCATCAAACCCATGCTAGTTAAAGATGCGAGATGACAGTAGAAAGATTTAGACTTCTGGTGTGTTGAAACAGAGTGAGGAGGAGGAGGAGTAGGGAGCAAAAGGGAGAGCTAGGAGATCTTGGCTACTTTGCTGCTTAGTAGGAATGAGAAAAGCAGGTGGGTGTTGGACGCGCTGCAGACTGGGAGGGTTTGCAGAGTGGGAGTTTGTGCTTGTGATCGTCTCTCAACCACCTGTCTGGAGACGTGCTCAGAAGAAATCATAAACAAAGCGGCACAGCACGCAGATGACGGTTTTGAAACTTTATTACTAATAATGGTAACAACCTCACTCAAACAAACACCAAACGTGAATGGGGAGAACCAAGCACGAGTGTTCCCTGATGTCACATCACCAACGATTTCTTGGAAATAAAGTCGATCGCTTAAAAAGATAAACATGGCACAATTGACCCTTCAACAGTTTACCTCTCTATCTGAACATCATGTCCATGTTCTCTAAAAATCCACACAGCTGACGCACAACAACCTAATGTCACCACTTGAACGGCTCCCCATTAAACCAAACAGGAAGCAACATCTTCAGCAGCTCTTACGACGGACATGGTTCATCTGCAGCCTGACTTTTTCATGTGTATGTAAAACCACAACAATCCTGAAGCTTCACAGACACTTTCACTCAGCCTCTCAGGGGAAAGATGACGAAAACAGATCGTAGACGGGGACTGGATGATTGAATTGTGTGTTTTTTTTTCCCCTCTGCTGCCACATCAGAAATTGTCAAATGCCAAAATCAGTAAGAACTTCCAGGACTTTAGAGGTCATTTTGACTGAAGCCAACTCTCCGTATCTGTAACCTGAATACTTTCACCAGATGGAAAACACAATCTGTTCAAACTCCCCCAAAGGGATTTGGCAAGACAGTGAGTTCACAGTACACGCACACACAAACACACGCGCACACACACACATAAAACAGATTACAGTGACAAGTATTCAGATATACTTTTGCCAAATTAAAAGAAGAATGTCCAGACATTTGTACACCTTGATCCACAGGAGAACATCCAACAGAGTAAAGTGAGAACAATTTCTAAGCTCCACTGTACTCTGCTCTCTCCCCTCCTCCACTTTGTTTTAGTGGCAGTGTGAACAGCCGGTGAAAAAAAAAAAAAAAGACTATTTGTGCACTGACAAACACCAACCAGAAAGGGAGCAAAAGTCTTTAAAAGAAAATCAAAGTGCACGGTTTTCTTTGTTTGACCAACAGTTCCGTATTTTTAATAACTCACAGCAAGCAGGAAGAACAGGACCACATTTTAAAGAATAAAACAGATCTGCTGCAAAGAGCCGGTTGTAACTTTTCAACAAAAACTTGAGCCAAAACTTTTCAAGTCTCGACAAATTCACCCAGAGACACATCCTATTTTATTTTCAGTCTTACAACCATGCACCCACTCTTTGTGCTTTGTTATTCTATGCGACTCGTGTGTGTGCTTAAAATCTTTCAAACTGCACAAACTATGTCATACAGTACAAAACAAATGCACATAATGTTCCCTCAAACCTTTTACAAACTACAACCAGTGCTGTCATCCCTCTAAAAAAGCGTCTCTCCGGTCGATCTCTCTCTCTCTCTCTCTCTGCAAGCTACCCAAACAGATTCGTGGCATGTTTCAGCCTCCTCTTAAAAGGTAAATCACACAGCAAAGGAAAAGAGAGAGAAAAAAAAAAGAAGCTCACCAGCTTTACAGGGATCCTTATAGTCGATCGCGTCTGATGTGGCAATGGGGTCCACATAGTAGCCCGGATCAATCGACTCCATATCGATCGCCAATATCACGCCGAGACAGGATAGTAGAAGCAAACATCTCGCCGTGAGATCCATTATTGTGGTGGGGGAGACGGCGAAAGGCGAGGGATAAAAGGTAAAGGACGAGAGATGGACAGAGAGAAAGAGAGAGAGAGAAAGAGAGAGAGAGAGAGAAATGGGAGGTTTTTTTTGGGGGAAAACGAGATCCCTCTAGAGGGCGGGTTTTAAATCCAGCCTCTCTCCGGTGATTTCTCCTTCAGCAGCCGGAGCTCCGGGCTTGTGCACAGGACTGCTTGACAAACTTTGATGATATGGCAGACCCACCGTAGCTGTGAAATGAGCTTTTACACGTCGGTGATGCCCCTGCGCGTTTTTATTGCTCCCTTGTCGTTCCATCAGGGGTCCTTGAAGAGGACACGGGGACTATAATTTGATTCACTTGATATTGAGTAGGCTATGAGTTATTATTGTGGTTATATTTTCCCCTCAGCTTCCTTTACACTCCCTGTTTTAGTAATAAAGCCTGACTTAATTCAGTGGTAGCCTATTTAATCTACCAAAGTAGAATCACCTTCAGCTCCCAGGCCAGAGTTTGTGAAAGAAGGCCTGTTGAAACAGTTCATATACAATTCAAAAGTTCAGCTGAAACTGTTCTTAAGAAGTTAGAACATTTTTCTTCTATTTTACAGTTTATTTTAAATCTTAAAATCCACCCTCTAGCTTGTTTTGTTAAATCCCAGGAGCGCAAACGACAACATAGCGTAAAGGCGGACTGTACGCACGCACAGACATTCTCACGTGCGCATTCGACTCCAGCCACGCAGTCGTGACGTCACACGCACGCAGGTAGCCGATATATAAACAAACAAACCAACGGAATGATCTTGAACTTCGTCGCTGCTTAAGTTGGCCATTAAGAAGACACCAGCGAATTTTAGTGATCAGAGCGCCACCTGTTGGAGATTCCGAGAATACGTGGGTAAACTAATAGAGCACTGATTAGCGAGGGAGGTATTATTGATCTGAACAGAAAGGGGATGCCTCTCTGACAGGGAGGCCTAAGGTTAATCATATATAATCTGATCACTTGGAAAAAAAATGAATAGCATTAACTATTGCTTCTTTTACATCACATTTTCTTGTCTTCAAAAGGCTTGCTGTCCGCTTTTCTCTTGCTCTTTCCAGAACCTCTTGATCAGCTATAGGACCAACCAAATTTAAAAAAGCAGTGGCACAAATTGAAATCTAAACATTAAGAGATAACTCTGAGCCCAAGATTAGTTATTTGTCAATACAGTATTGCATGCATTTAAAACAATGTTTTTTTTTTTTAAGTGGGACTATGGCAATGCAGTGCAAAAAAAAGAAGCCATACAGATACATGCAGACTAAGTTAAGCACCAACAAGGGCAAAAAGTTCATTTTAAGAGTCAAACAACAGAAACTATAATGAGCTCTCAGCCACTTGCAGCGTGTTCAGTTCCCACACTGGTATCACTGCTCTTAATAAATATATTTATACAAACAGATGGGCCAACATCAAGAAGCCCATACAAGCTATTCTTAAGCTTATTTTGTAGATATCGACCTGTAAGTACATTTTTTGTACGGCTAGTTGAAGTGTATTGTTTAGGACAGTTATCTGTCCGATATTCTTCTGACTTACACCCCACAAAGTATATTACTCTCCTCAGTGTTTAACAGTACAATTCATATTAGTGTAAAAGCTGAAGGTGCAGCTAATGCTCGCTGTAATGTAAAAAAAAAACCTTTTAATTAAAAATAGAACATCTAGGAAATGTGTTACAAGCAAATAAATAATTCTATTTTATTAGACTACAGCCAAATTTGTACCACTTATATGTGGAGTGGACTTAATGGTTAGACCTTAGGTGGACTCTGTCTGCTGCTGCAGCTGAAGATTATGATGATTATGATGTGAAACTCTACCAGCAGTTCTGTTGTCTGTCTGGCAACAGCCATCCTGTCTCTTACTATTACATACAAAGTCTGGTTTAGATAAGCTGGAAGAGAAACACTCCACTCTTTATCTGATCCGAGCACGGCCTATGTGTGGAATGTAAGACCGGATGTGTGCTGAGATGATCAGGCTGTATCTCTGCTGCTGTCAACACTGCTGTTTAACCATGACGCATTAGAGTAAGTACCTTCATCATCATTTGAATAAGAACGGTTTCATGGCTTGTTCAATTCTACAAGAACAAACAGGAACACATCTTTAGACCGACACAATGTTAGAGTCTTGATGCAGATTATTTTTACTGTGGCAGTTTCAAACAAAAACCCATTTACAGTCAAATTATGACAATGTACAGAGGTGGAATAGTGCCATCACAGAACATGAGGTTAAAGAGGGGGGAGAGAAAAATGTGCTGATTAACATGAATGCTGACAGACTTGGACTGTCGACGTACTGCAGCTTTTACTGGAAATAGTTCTTACTATTCCACACTAGCATGGCACTTAACGTTGCTATTCAATGCGGCTTCTGAAATCAAAAGATTATGACCAATTCTGGCATTTAATTAGCAATTAAAATAACTTTTTCCTCTAACACATTATACGGTTGTCATCTTTTTATTGTGGAAGAACACTGCTTCACAAAAAGCAATTATTATGATGAAAAGCTTTAGTGATGTGAATATAATTACTGTGATAAATAATAACGAAGGCATGACTAACACTCTAGTGAAGTCATCTCACAAACACGGAGATATTTAGTTGTGACATCAAAACGCTCCACAAACAATCTGACGTTCAAGTTAATTATTTATATCTAGTCCTTTGATTAACGAGAGGAAACCTCTTCCATTTGTTGATACTTTTGTTGGCTGTACAGTGAATTATTTTACTCTGGGGTTGCAGTTTCTTCTCACATGGAATCATTCTCAGAGGATACCATGTGTTCCCATAAAACATAAAGGTGTAAATAGAGAGCACAGACTGTAGCATAGAGACCAACAAAGCAATGTTATTAGAGTCTGTGCTTCCCATCTGCACACAGAGGTGATGTGTCCCAGCAGCTCAGCCCCAGTCAAGGGAGACAATACCCTCTCCAGCCCCCTCTCAGGAGGATGGGAGGCAGGTGTTATGCGTGTTGTCGGGTAGTGTGTTCCTCATCACAGGGAGGAAACCGTCTCATCAGCAGGCTGTGGCTCCCAGATGCCTCTGGCACAGCACCAACTTCATCAGATGTGTCACCAAATCGAAAAACCTTGAGCAGAGACTTTCACTGCTGTAAAAGGGCACAAAGAAATGAATAAACTCACAGTCCAGGGTAAATAATGATTCACCTACAATGTATTCATATGAAATTCTTGACCGACATCTAGTTCTTTTGCTCTAAAAAAAAAAAAAAGGCTCCAGAGTGCATGCAGACTCTTCAGAAATAATGTGAGGTATTTTCAGCCTGATCAGATGAACATTTTCTGAAGTGCAGCTCCCTTTTGTGCACAGCCTATTTAGATAGATGCCGATAACACTTAGCTGAGGAAGTTGTTTTCACTCTGCAGTCAAAGCAGGTTTTTATGTCATTTTTTAGAAAGATTGTTCATTAAAGTGTGAAAAATTATTACTCAACCCTATATTTTCCCGCCCAGCATACTCTAAAATAAAGGGGCATCTGAAAAAAAAAATCTTTACCAATAATTTGAATAAAAGCAGTAATCCACACATCAAACTTGTTAAAAGAATAAGGAATTTGTTAATTTGTTCATACACTTAAACAACTCATCTGTGCATTCATTTGTGTTCTACACTTGGTGTGTAGTGTAAATTTAAAATAATCTGATAATTGCAGTGAAGGATGGACATTTGGAGCAGATTTTTATTTATGATAAAACACAAAAATTATGGCACTATGGAAGCAGTGACAGTGAAGATATTCATGATAAACCCAGATACATTTCCTTGCATTGTATGAACAATGTCATCATTTATAAAAACAGAAAAGGCAGATGTTGCATGAATCAACAAATACAGATCAACACATGCAGCTACATGTAAGTTATCATATAAAGAGCTATAGGTCAAATGTGCCTACATGAGGAGTCGTCAAATGGTTCATTAAGACACACCTTAGGCTCACTGGTGCGAGCCGGCATCATGTCAGCAGTTTGGCTGAGAGATCCCCCTCTACTGGGCTGTGCTCCTCGGAGGGTGACTGTTATCGATGTGGGGGCTTTTTGCCCTACTGACACACAAACAAAACCACTTTACACTAACAGCTACTCATGCTTATCCCCAAAATGAAACTTTTAGCATCACGTGACACAAACTTTGCCAAATATGTCATGAAGAAATCATCAGGAGGACCTGTTTTGTTGTTATTAAACAAATTAAAACAACAACAGGGTGTTTGACATGAAGATAATGGAGAATTAAAACAAGTTTGACATTTAAGTCAAGCAAGAGGAGAGAGCAATTCACAGTAAAAGAAAGAAAAAAAACAGCAGCAATGAAAAAGTGAGTTTGATTCAGTCTTTATTGTTACAACAAGGACACAACTTGAGTAATGCCATGGGCTGCTTTTTTTTTGCTTTATAACATGTCTCTCTGAGATGTCAGCATCAACTTGTGGATATTCTAAGCAGGTGATTGAATGAAAGGATTTACAACATGAAGAGGCAAACAAAATGAACACAAACATGGAATGGCTAATGCTAACAAAAAACAAACAAAAAGCACCATGGATTTAACTTGAGTTTCTTATTAAAATTGGTCAACCTCACAAACCTCGTATTTCACTTAAATCATGATTTTTCTGTATCAAATAGTTTTATACGATTAAATTGTTCAATGGCATCAATTTTCCACATTAACACAGACTCAAGCATGAACTTGAAACTCAAACTTTTGACCATGTGATTTTCCCATAGCTCTTCTGAAAATGAAACATTAACATATTTGAAGTTGTCCTCTGGATGCTGAATAGCTGCACATCTGACTCTAGGGTCTAACACCTGTCAGGCTCTTCCAGACAAACCTTCAACACACACGTAGACTGAGCGGCTCTCTACTGTCTTCTACAGTGATAATCCTCCCTGGCCTACAGGTGTCCTGAACTACTGTTACCAAAGCAAAGGATGAGTGAACCCTGGGCTTTCAGCGTGGCCGTTTTGTTTTGGCAGCGCGAGA